AGTGATGGTAAAATGACTTTAGCTTTTCAGAATATGTGAAAGGCAAAAGAATGAAACTTACAGAAACATTCTTTCCACTTCCCAACTGTACAGTGCTCTTGAAAGCCCTGTCAATGCCACTAGCTGCTACAGTTACAATCCACGGGGCAGTATTTGTTACAGTTGCCATACTGGGACCACCATTTCCAGCTGAGGCCACTGTGATTATACCTTTCCTCATGGCAAAAAATGCACCAATTGATATAGAGTCACGAATATAACTAGGATTTCCTCCACCTATGGAAATGGATATGACATCCACACCATCATGTATAGCAGCATCAAATGCAGCAAGTATGTCCATATCTGCACAACCCCTGAATGCCCAACATACTTTGTAAATTGCCAACCTAGCTGATGGCACAGCACCACGAATAGTCCCATTGGCCAAGCCAAAGAGACTTGCATTTGGTACAAGATTGCCTGCAGCTGTTGATGCAGTATGAGTGCCATGACCATCAACATCTATTGGAGATAATATGTCAGATGGATTAGGGTTTCCATCAGCCTTGAAGTATTTGGCTCCTATGATCTTGCTTCAAGTTTTCCATAAGAGAGTTTCCATGCAGAAAATACAAAGTTACAACTTAAGCCAATCTAAAATTTGCAATGTTTATGTCTAAAAAATGCTTATCTTTACTTTCTACAACTTAAACTGCATTAATACCTCCTTATTGAATTTTCAAGTACTTAATAGCAAAGATTTCCTCATGGGGACATTATTTATACATAAAATTGTATATAAGAACTAACATAAATGAGCATTAAAAGTGTTCTTTAATTTCTCTACGAAGTGCTATATAAGATTTTTCTCAGGAAAAAAAAATACTGTGGCATACAACTATTATTCTTTGTATTAATCATGTTCATTATATAACTTTGAAATTGGTCATAGAATGGCTTAGAACAAATTGAAAACATTTGTCAAAGATATACGTATTGATTTTGGAACAACTGGACAGGACTCTGGTATGAATGGAAACGTAGTTGTGAGTTTTATGTTTTCATGATTGTTTATCTATTAGGAATGTAGCACGAGAAAGTTGTTGCAGTACTGTCCCAGTTCATTTTTGCTTTTGGAAAACCTTCGTTTTCATTTCAATTATCACATATAAATAGTAGTGCCCTGTCTAAATGTGGAAAGCATTGTAGTTGATGTTAAAATTTGTAGTAATTATATTAATTTTGGATTTAATGTTTCTCATGTTGTACGGGATAAATTTATTTTCTACACATACATAAAAGTGTGCAAATCTCATATTTTTTCTTTCTTTCTTTTCTCCTTACATGGGCCCTACACACTTTTACGTATGTGTAAGAGATTTTATCTCTTATAATATAAGAAACAATAATCCCTTATATTTTTTTGGTAAACATTTGTAGTATTTATTTAAGGACAAATCCCCCGGAACATGAAAAATGTTTTGATGCACAACATTTATTCTGTATTAACTTATAATGAAAATTACATTGAATTGAAAACTTAAAAGTTTGAGGACAAATCCCCAAGAACATGAAAAATGTTTTGATGCACAACATTTATTATGTATTAATTTAAAATTATGGTTGGGGGGTGGAATGGTTAACTAAAAGACTTACTTTGTGTGTCTCTGGTTTAATTTGTAACAATGTTGAGATTCTTTATGTACTAGCACAATAATTCACTGAGATTGTATTGACACAACGTAAACAAGGAAAGGGAATTTACTTGTTGCAGCCTGAAAAATTAGCATAGTGACCACAAGTTCCTTTCCATTTTGCTGGCGGAGGACAAAACCCATCATCCTTAAAGCTTTTAGACTCAGGCGTGATCCCTACCTCACCAATATCATAGTTTTTGTAATTAAATTACTACGTACCATTTACATAAGGGGAAGGATCCGTTTACAAACTTTTTTTACAAATTACACTAAGTTTGATCGGTCATACACTCTTGATTGAAATATGACCGGTTAGACATAGTGTAGTTTGTAGGAATTTATAAACAAAAAGTTTGTAAATATGACCTTCCCTTTATATAATATCCCAAATGAAGTATAAGAATATAAAAAGAAAAAAATGAAAATGGGAAGAAAGCTAAGATGAACCTGTATCCAGAAGACCAACAACTATGTCACTCTCTAATTTCAATCTTCTCTTAGCAGTCAGAGGTAACCCAATGAAGTTCCATGATCTTGTTGTGTGTAGCTTGCGGTATTGATTTTCAAATACCAAGAGAACTTCATCCATGGCTACACTTACCAAAAAAAAGGTTAAAAGTAACAATACATACTATTTAAACAATTATGATTTGAAGGAACTAGAGGAAAATTATCCATACCAGACAACTTCTTGGCTTCATCCTCAGACAATTTTGCTGCAAATGCATTGAAGCTCTTTGTGTAGCTATAAGCCATGGATTCTTTGGCTTCAAGGTAGCTAAGTAAACACAAATCAAAGAAAGAAACTTATTTCACATGTTTTTTGTTGAAAGCTTTAATTTAAGAACAAGTGAGAATTTGATTGAATGAGAGCTATATATATAGTTCATTTATGTGCACTTTTTGTGCTTGAAGAGAGAAAGATAAGGAAGTGTTTGTGAGTTAGTCAGGTTACCTTCCCTTCACAGCAGATAGAACATTTAAATGGGTCTCAAGTGCAATGTCTCTGCTCATAGGATGAGCTCCCAAGAAAACAATGTAAAAGTTCTACAGACAAGTCAAATGGTGATCAAGCACATATAGAAAACAAAAAATGACACGTTAGAAGATTTTTCAAATATGATAGGAATCAAATAGATCTATATAGCTAATAAGGAATTAAAAGGGAGAAGAAATCCAATGCCTTTTGCTCAACTCCATTAACTGACACAATGCTCAGCAAGATCAGCAGTAATTGAAGCCAAAGAAGAGAGGAGGAGTTGGTAAGTTTCTGTGATAACATATTTAGTAGTGACATGATGGACTTTTGAGACACTAACATGGCAAAACAAACTCTAAGAAGAAGCTTATATACAATTCCAAAGTTAGCAAAAGAAAGGATGAGGAATCCTACTTCAACTAGTTAGCTTCTAACATACAAATAATTAAGGTTTTTGGTAGAGGAAGCTTGTAAGAAAGATTACTGAATTTCTTTCTTTGGCTAAAGTCAATGTCACATATGGAGCCAAGGATTGCTTATTCAAGTGAAACTTACATTAACATTTCCTCTGTCATTAAAAACTCATTTGATGTCATGATCTCTACAGGAGGCTCATAACTTGTGGTCCATGCAGATTAATTTCTCATCTTGCTATTTAATAATCTGTTATTTTTCTTTAAATTGAACAATTTTAATTAGCTGTTAGTGTTAAGCAGGAAAATTCATACAGAAATCTCCTAGTTCTTTGTCTTGGGGGTTCAAAAAATGGCCTAAGACACTTGGTAAGGGCTAACATGTGTGCCCAGGAACGATTCTCTTAAATTGCATGGTGATTTCTGTATTCAAATTTCTCAGCAAGAAAAGTTGAGAAGCAGAAAAGAGTATGAGATTTAAAACCTCCAAGACACACATCACTGTCAAGTACAGTAGAGATATTGCTTAAAAACAAAGAGGCCTTGACATTATTAACTCCTATTCCTTGAATTCCAATGCAAGCGTTTAGCCTTACAGCAGTGATTACTTATGTTTAATGGGCTTAGCTTCAAGTTTAACCCAAATGAAATGTAAAGAACCTTCTGGTTACCACCCTAAAAGCTAGCTCAAAGGGTGGGAGTGTCCAAAACCTTATAAATTCCATATTAGTTGCTCATCCAATCAATGTGGAACTATATATCTCAACATGAAACACATGTTGAGATTAAAATGTGGTCCCTTCGGGGATATCCGATAAAATTGGAATGAAATTAAAATGTGTAATACCCGTACATAAATCAAGTGATTAAAGGTTGTTCTAGTTCAATTAGTAATCTCGAGTTCAGGTTCTTCGGAATGCAATTGTGTTAAAAACTTATTAGGAATGTTATCAAAAAAAAAAAAAAAAACTTATTAGGAAGAGCTCTGTCACCTTATTTCCTATATAGTTTTACCGTGCTCAAATCAGACTAATTGAATAATTAATAAATCGATGAATAATATAAAAATAAAAAAATTATGTGTTATTGTCCTTCAATATTGTCTTATTATGCATTAGTAATACGAGGGAATTGAAAGAGAATTCTCCTATAGACATATTTATGTACTTAATCATCAAGCCCATTTGGCTACGTAATATTTGTATGTAGTTCAAAACATTTGTTGTAAAAATCCAGTAATTCAAGTAAAATCCATAAAACCCTAATTTAACTACCTATTTGATCAGAATGAAAGATTTAGCCATCTTACAATAAAATTCAGTGATTCAAGTAAAATCTTTCACCAATATCTCTGCATCCTTTAGGAATCAGATTAATTTTAATCGAAAAATTGAGGCTGTTCTCACATGCATACTATTACTTATTCACATATTCCAAACTTGCATTTTAAAAATCTCTCAATTATTTGACTCGAAATTTATTTACCCAGGTGATTCACAACTTAATGGTTATTAAATCAAATGTTTTGACCTGAGTAAATATTAATTTTTTGACAAGTAATTATACTTATTACTTATTTTTCTTATTACCTGTTACGACCAAATCTTAATCGTTGATTTCTGTCAATTTAACAGTTGTAATTTATGGAATCATACTTAATAATTAATTATTCATTTACAATAAATTATAATTGTTAAATTAATGGAAATCAACAATTAAGATTTGATAATAACAGATAGTAAGAAAAATAGGTAATAAATATAATTTTTCTCAAAAAATTTATAATTTCTTAATTTTTCATCTGTCCCTTATTTTTTTTATTAGAACTCGCATTGATCTCACAATTATAATTAAAAGTTAAATTATATTTTTTTTTTTCAGTATTTGAGGAAAAAAAGTTTGATGGCACTGCCCAAACATTATGCAACCTTAAACCCTAATGTACCTCTTCTTCCGTATCACCCGCCAAAATTCACCCACCGCCACGCTCCTCACGCGCCACCTATCCTCCTCCACCGCCACCGCCGCCTCCAAACTGCACGACCGTTACACTTTCAAACCACCATCTTCCCTCTCCACCGAACCCCAAAACCCCAATGACACACCCACCAAACCCAACAAAAAAAAATCGAAGCCCAAGTACCGGCCACCTTCCTCGCTGGACCGGACCGGCCGGAAACCGGTCCGTTCCGAGTTGCCGTTCGATTTCCGGTTCAGCTACACGGAGAGCAGCCAGACGGTGAGGCCGATCGGGCTGAGAGAACCCAAGTACTCGCCGTTTGGACCGGGGCGGCTGGACCGGCCATGGACCGGGGTTTGTGCTCCGGCGGTGGACCCGAAGGTGAAGTGTTTGGAGGGAGAGGAAGACCCGAAGTTGGAGGAGAAGAGGAAGAAGAAGAAGGTGTGGATTCAAGGGGAACCTCTTACTAATGCTGAGAGAAAAGCACTGGTTTTGCAGTGTGAGAGGCGCAAATCTAAGAGGCAAATCAATTTGGGTATCAACATTCATAAAGCTTGTTCCTTTTTTCAATTGGGTGTTCTTAGTTTCTGTTTGAGATTAAGGGTTCTTAGAAACATTTGTTGGGATGAGGCTTGTAGGAAAAAATTTATGAGAATAGAAAATTTTATTTTTAAATTTTTTTTACCCCCAAAATTTATGAATGCTAGTGTTAATATGTTGATTATTTTTTGTGGAAATGGTTAGAGACTATTAGATACATGCTGCTAGCTTGTATCCTATAATTTTTCATTTTATTTTTTTTCATTTTCATTTTGGTTTTATTGAGAAATGAAAAGACTATTGATTCAGAGAGCAATTTGCTTTGCAATTATTGGGGAAATGTATTAGAAGAGTACTTTGAGGAGGCGAATGACTCCATTTTCTAACTTATATTTTAAACATGATTGAAATGTTGTTTTCCTTGTACTTCTGGCAGATAAATATTTGAATAAAAATTCTTGTTCCAGTTTTTGTGAGTTTGATCTTGCCCTCCCTCTTACAGTTGAATTTCAGCTTTCTCAAGTGTTCACAATAATTTTATTGTAGAAAAAGGCTCTCAACAAATCAACCAACACTTTGCCTTTTAACTTGCTTCTTTGATCTCTATAGTCTTATCTGCTAATGAGGGACTCTGTTTGTTTTGGTTGCAGGGAGGGATGGTTTAACTCACAATATGCTGAATGAAATTCATAATCATTGGAAATTTTCTGAAGCGGTTAGGATCAAATGCATGGGTGTTCCTACTGTTGACATGAAAAATGTTTCCACCCAACTTGAGGTTTATGCCTTTCACTTCTTTTCATCTAACTATCTTGCCTTCTGAAATGAAGCTTTCTATTATGATGTTGGTTGAACCGGAGGTTGGATTATGTGTCATTCTAATGTCTAAACTTATTGGAAAATACAAGCATAAGCAATTCTCATGTTCTTGTTGCAGGACAAAACATTTGGAAAGGTCATTTTTAGACACGGGGGTACACTTGTATTATTCAGAGGCAGGAATTATAATCCAAAAAACAGGCCTATAATTCCTGTCATGTTGTGGAAACCCCATGAACCTGTATATCCCAGACTGATTAAGACAACAATTGATGGCTTAAGTATTGAGGAAACAAAAGAATTGAGGAAGAGAGGACTAGCTGTTCCTGCTTTAACAAAACTTGGTATGCTCATGATATTTTCTAATTTCAGTTGCCAGTATGTTTTTGCAAACGTTATTGACTCTGAAGTGAATTGCAGCAAAAAATGGCTACTATGCTTATTTGGTACCCATGGTCAGAGATGCTTTTCTCTCCTGTGAATTGGTTCGGATAGACTGCCAGGGTCTTGAGAGGAGTGATTACAAGAAAATCGGCTGCAAACTTAGGGTAAAGACAAGACTCTTTCTCTTTTCTAATTAAGTTGTTGTAATGCTATCTATGTAATATGATCATATTATCATGTGTTGCATAACTAAAATGCATAATGCCTTTTTCAGCTTGGACAATTAAGTACCTTCATAGAAATTTAATTTTAAAATTGAGTTTGTTTAGGTATTGTAAAGTAGAATCACTTTTCAAATGTGATTTGGGGGACTCTTTTTTTTTAAAAAAAAAATTTACTGGATCCCACTTGTTAAAATTGAATTTCTAATCAATTTGACAACCTATTAATTTTTGAGATTTTATTTTGAATAACTACTCAAAGAAGTTGGATTATTGTTAGAATAATTTCTTGAGGACCAGTTGGGATTATAGACCCTCCTGAATACAAAAAAACCGGCTAAGTACTTTATCTGTGTGATGTGAGTTGATATATCTTCAGGCTTGGCTAGAATATTTTTTATTTGACTGGAAATGTGTGCAAAATGGTGCTTTCGATTGGTTATGCTGCTGCTGCTTCTTCTTTTTATTGGTCCTTGACATTTCATCAATATAGCATATTGTTCTGCATTATATGGTTATCATCTTACTCTGTATGGATAGTTAGAGGTAGCCTGACCACCATCATCACATTTTCTTGTAATTATGAGGGAGAATCGGGTGGAAGATTTAAGTTAAAAAATTTCCTTTGGATTGTGAGTTATATATTTTCAGTTTATTATATTTTAGAGTACTGAATGATCTGGTTATTATAATAAGGGTAAATTACACTTTACCCTCCTGTGGTGTGGTTTACTCTATTATATCATCGCCACATTGTGATATTTTCCATCTATTTTTTTACGGAATATACATATTAAAATTGCCAAAAGTATTAAAAAAATTCTCTCTAAAACTTAATTCACATTCATTTTCTTCATCACCCGAACAAAATGGGAAACTACCGTAGCAAAAACAAAAATTAGCACCAGTCAAGCACTTTGTGCTCTTGCTGTTCCATGCAAGATAGATCTCGTTGACATGACTGAGATCTCTATCTGCTTCGGAAAAAAACATAACAGAATCAATGATTCACCATGAAATGTTGAAGTCTGTGCCCCTTGATGATAGCATCAACATGCTGTTTCCAGAGAAGGAAGTTCTTCTCATCCAAATGCACCGAAATTGTACTGGCATAGATTCGAGGAGTTGTGGCTGGAGGCAGCATCCAAATTGAGAGGAATTTCAGAACTCTGAAAGGGATTTTGGGGGGAAGCTTGGATAATTAAGCTTTGGATACCATGTTAGAATTCAATAAGCAAAGAGAAAGTTAGGAAAAGTTTACGGTAGAAGAATTGAGGGAGGGAAAGAGAGAGAGAGAAAGAGATCCTGGAATTGATTCTGTAACTGTATTCTGAAGAGATCTGAATCTGTTACAATATATAGAGTGTAACTTTAACTGGCTATACTTATACTGATAAATGTCAGTTTAGAGATCTAACCGAAAACACAGGCTGAGCTGAGACACATGCTCTACCTAAGAGTCTGATACAAACCAACTACTCCAATTGTGGCTATGTTACAACAGTAAAAAACCATTTCAATTTAAAAGATTAAGCTGTTGGGTGAGGCATGTCTCTAACAGTAACAAAGCAAATCACAGGAGGATAAGGTGTCAAATTTTATAACACAGGAACACAAAGTGTTTTTGTGTCAAACCAAGGGGGGTGAATTGTAATATTTGCCCTTATAATAATGCAACTATATGGTAAATAATAATAATGGTAATGGTAATCGAGTAACATTAGCACTCTGTTCTACCTTTCAAACCTTCTTGCAGTTAAGACATGATTTTTTGTTTTTCATGTTGTGTTCACCTGGGATTGGTGCTTTAAGTTGCTCCTTTTCAACTATCTCATGTATTGATGCAGGACCTGGTCCCTTGTATTCTGGTGACATTTGACAAAGAACAGATTGTAGTTTGGAGGGGGAAGGATTATAAGCCCTCGAAGGATGGATACTTTGTTAAAGACCGAGAAACATTTGATGATGGTGGTGACTTTTATGCAGGCGAAGAGGAACAAGCTGAGCTTTATGACAGCAGCTAATGAAACTAATACTGCAGTCAGCTTACTTTGTGCAAATTGCTGCCATGAATCTGAAGTTCCTTTAAGATTGGAATGTTGTGTTCTGTGTAAATGGAATCGAAGAGAGAGGAACATTTGAGATAATGTACTGCCTAGGTTGATGCTGCAATTTGGATATAAGAAGATATCTCCAAACTGTTCTTTTCCCATGACTCATTTTGGACTTAAGAGTTGTTAGAACTTAGAAGCAATCTGAAAGATGTGGAATGAGTATTTAATTATATACTGGTTATTCACAGTGCAGAGCTGAAGATATTTTATGGTGGGATTTCAATTCTGTATGATCTGCAAATGGTGCACACAGATTTTCTATTTGGAATCAGATTGAAATTGTTTATCAAGAGTTTTCGTCCATTGTCTTGTCACAAATTCACAATAGCCAATTCAGAATCAATTTATGTTTCACTGGCATAGCTAAGCTTGGAAGAGTTTTGAGTGAAAGGTTAGATGGGCTTTGGTTTTTCATAAAGGGACAAATCTCAATGCACAAGGTTTCCCGATTGTATGTAACTTTACCCTTATGATTTTTTTGTCAAGAAATTATTTCTGAAACTCGAACCCAGAGACTTACCTAGACTACACTCAAATACATGACAATTTTTTGCACTTTGTTATTTCATACTGGGAAAATCCTAGGCTGGATTTGAATGGTTTGCAGATCAGAGTCTCATAGTACCAGGGTAAACTTGCTCTTAAGTTCAGTACTCAAGTTTGATACGAGTTGTTAAATTTCTGTATAATGTACAAATTATTCTTAGATTATATACAGTGCATGTTTGGATTGGTTTAGTTTTTAAGCAAAAAATTGCTTATTTTTTGAAAAGCTTTCTTAACAAGATTTTTATTTTGTTATTTTAAACACAAAATAAACTTATTTAAACACCAATATAGAATGATACTCATGATATTAAATCATGGTTTTCTTTTCTATTAATCCAATTGTTTTTTCAAGTAATCAGTTCGGTGCTTTACTATCAAAATAGATGTTAAAATGTGAGTGAGTGATTGTTATGCATTGTGGTTTTTATTTTTTATTTTTGGCTAATTACAGTACTATTAGAAAGAAACATTTTTGTTCGAGAATTACTTTTTTTTTATTTGTACTTTAAGTAACTTTTATATTTTGGACGAACTCTTCAAAAAAAAAATAATGTTGTTTATTTATTAATATAATTTCTTATTACTTTCACAATAAGGATAACCAAACTTTAAAAAATAAATAATGTGATACTCAATGGAATAGAAAAAAAAGAAACTCAACATTATTAATAATATTTACTATTGTATTTAGAAGGGGATACAATAGAAGTAATATGTATGTATAAAGGAAAGTTCCATTGATGATTAGTTGAAGATATTTATATTTAAAAAAAAAACCTATTTCAACTACCTGGTTGGAGGACCTTTTGGAGTTTATTTTTTTTTGAAATATTTCAATCGGTTCATTGCTTTGCAATTAATCCGATTCGGGGCGGGTCCAGGATTAAGGCTTTAAACCCTTCCTAAAAGTGGTACTAGAGAGATTCGAACACATATTCTCACCCCACCTGCTTAGCTTCCATGCGCCAACTGAGCTATCACCATTTGATTTTTTGGAGTTTATTTTGTCTCTTCTTTCAGCTAGTATTTTATAAATTTAGTTTTTATATAAAAAATATTTACCACCACATATTAAAGTTGGTAAGATTAAATTTTTTGGGATTGTAACTTTATTAACATCATAAAAAATGGGTGCTAATTCGGGTTATTTGAGCCCATTTGTTTTATTTTCACCGCCGTGGCCTGCACCTGGGGAATCTTGGTCATGGAGAATTGGAGATGACAACTGTTAAAGGTACTTTCATTTTTTTCCTCAATATATGCAAGCTTTTTCAATTTATTCCTTCCATTCTTATCAGTTGAACCATCTCTTAATAATAATAATAAGAAGAAGAAAAATAATTTTTTTATGTGGTAAGAAAAGAGTTATCTCATATAATAAAAATAAAAATTACAAGTAAGACTCACAGAGTAAGAGGAGAGAAAAAAAAGAGCGGATCCACCCCTCTTTTGTACATATAGAAAATTTGTTTTTTCATATAAAATGAGATAAATATAACCCTAATAATAATAGGGAGAAATATTTCTAAAACCAAAAATATTAAACCCGTAATAATAATAATAATAATAATAACATTTGGATTAAATCATCGAGGCTCTATAAGATAATATAATATAGGGATATATTTTTCTTATGTTGTAGGAAAAGAATTACCTCATGTTGTAGAAATAAAAGTATAAGTGGGACCCACATGTAAGAGGAGAGAGAAAAAAAAAGTGGTGGGACCCAACTCTTTTTGTGTGTGTAGGAGAGATGTTTATATCATGTAAAATGAGATAAACATAACCCTATAATATAAGTGAATTAAAACGGTACTATTATTAGCCTAACTGAAGAGGTCATTTAGATGAATTTTTTTTTTCTTCTTCAGAAGCTTTTTTTTTTAAGGAAAAAATAATAATTCTTCAAAAAATTTGTTTAAATGTTTGCTTTTAAAACAAGCAGAAGTCATAAAAAAAGTCATAAATTTGCTTTTTTGGAAGCTAAAAATTTTAGCTTTTAAAAAAAAAATAAGTCAAAAGTCAAATATTTTATAAAAATTTAAATAACTTTAACTTTTGTTTAAAATAAGAAAGACATAAAAATGAGTTTTTTTGGGAAGCAATCCAAACGAGCTTTCAAAAAATGTTTTTTAAGCCTTGCTTATTTTAGAAGTACTATTTATGAAAAAAAAAATAGTGATTTATTTATAGTGATTTAATCATGTGACAATTGTAATAAAAATAAGACTAAATAGGCTCTCATGTGAGAAAATATTAAAATTCTCCTGTCATATACCCATTCACATGATGGCAGCATCTTTTAATAATAAAAAAACCCTGATGTGAGGGCAAAAGGAGATGAATTTCTCCAACAATAAGAGAAAATCATCTCCCTAATAGTAATAATAACAAGGTATTAGCGTGAATGCAAGATAAAATAAAATCATGAAATTTTTTTAATAAAAATCATTATAAGTTATTTTACTTAAAATATATGTTTATTCAAAGGAATTAGTGTTTGTACTTTTAAATGATATAAATTTATTTTATTTTAGTTAAATTTACTGTGTTTTATGATGAGGAAAACAGTTACATAATATAAATTATAATGAAAGAAAGTGGAAGATTTTTTTAAAAATTTAAATATTAAATACAAAATATTATTAACTAAAATGACTGTTTTTTAAAAATACAAATATTTTTCTCATTTTAAATATTAGTACTTGTTGAACCTCACGTCATAATTTGATTCATGAAATAACTCCAGGTCAGGTTTGTTTGTTGACTTGTTTTTTTATATATACAAGTAGGAATTAAATACATAACCTAATTCAACCTATCTAAATCCCTCATCATTATGAGCGAATATTTAGTGAACCCGATTCACGTGAACCGGATAAAGAGACAGAAGTAAAGAGAGGAAAGAGATAGGAAGAAGAGAGAGAGATGAACCATCCAATTAATTTTTCATCATTACATCACTTAACAAAAATTTAAAATGCTTCAGCCCACTAAAAAATTGGGTGGTCCCTCTCAAAAAATGAATTTTTTTTTTCTTCCTTTCTTATTCATATTTTTTTTTTCCTTTTTCTCTCTCCATTTGTGAAATTTTTTGTGCTCCCGGAGCGACCAAATTTCTCTCCCTTCTAACTTAGTTCTTCCAAAACATTATACAAATGGCTACAGTACAACTTAACCACCAACTCTAATATGATATATTCCAACTTCCAAGCATGAATGTGTCTAATCCAAATGAATGATTCAAAGTTAAGTAAATCCAAAAACATATATTAAAATGAAAATGGTTGCGAGGATAATGTTTGAGTGCTTTCTGTCTTTATCAATCCTTCTAACAAGACGACAACTATAGTCAATATCATGAATAGTATTAATCACATAAATTTTGATTATTCGGCTAGTCCAATTAAGCTGGATAAAATTATAAGGATGATAAAATTTTCTTTATAAAATTTTTAACACAGTTGTGTACTAGAATTATAAAATTATATATATTTTCCATCAAATAGAATAGAATATTTTATAAATTAAATATTTAAATTTTTTAAAAAGCAAAATTACATTCATTAATATTAAATTTGACAAAAGCAACAGTTACAAAATTTAAAATGAAAATACATATCTTGTTGTGCTAAACATAAGTACATACATAAATGAGATTGACTGAGAAAGAAACAGTGTTGGATCCTTTTGATAACTTGTGATGTCAGACATATAAATTTTTAGTAAGGTAGAATTTTGTACACCAGTATAAATGATGTCTTGTTTTCCTTTTTCAAAAGCTCAAGTAGATAGGTATGTGTTAAATATCGGTTCTATATTATTATTATTTTATACCAATTTTAATTATTTCTTTGAAGTGAAAGGTTTCTCTGAGTATTTTCATAAACTTTACATCTTTGAGTCGATTATAGGACTAATCTCGAGTGCAGGCGAGTCAAAGATTAAGGTTTTATACCCCTCCCTAATATGGCATTGAACCGAGGTCTTTTTCTACCCACTCAGTTTTCTTGCACCAACTAAGCTGCCATTATTGAGTATCAGTTCTATATATATTTCTAACATGGTTCTTAGTTAAATTTTTTTTATTTGAAGTATAAATAATATAAATATTTATTTTATTTTATATTACACTTTATTGTTTTAGAAGAAGAAAGATAATTGTTAGGATATTCAAATGAGATTGAGTCTTATATTGATTGGTAATAGACTAAATGAAGTTTATATAAGTAAGAGAATCTACGAAGACATACCTTAAAGTTTTGAGTTAAGATATGCTCTCGGATTCAGTTGTTACATTTGATATAACTTTACCCATTTGTGATGATTTTTCATCATGGGCTCCTCCTGACTTGCCTAACAGTGATATTAGAGCTGGATTCAATATTACGATTGGTTGTTAGCAAGAGAATGGTAATGTTGTTAGTTAAAAAATGATTGTTAGTCTGTTAGTGGTTCAAGTAGGTAGTTGAGGAGACAGAATAGAAGATAACAATATATATGGATGTATAAATATAAGAAGTTGCACGTAACTAAGTCATTCAGAATAATAAACTCAAGTTTTCTTCATTTTCTTTCTCTCGATAGGTGTCTGCCTAGCATTGGTGTTCTGAATAAGTTAACTACATACAACTTCTTCTAATTATACATCCATACCTGTTGTTATCTTCTATTCTCTCTCCTCGACTAGCTACTTGAACTACTAACAAACTAACAACCCTTTTCTAACTAAGAGCATTACCCTTCTCTTTCTAATAGCCAATCGTAACATTCAGTTTGGGCTAGTCTGTTAATTGGCTAGAATTTGATAATGGTCCAACTGCCATAAACTCCTCTGACCCACTCATAATAATAAGACCTTGCTATTTTTGGTTGACAGATATGGTATTATCCTAAATAAAAATTAGAGTAAAGTATTTTTTAGTCCTCAATAAATATCGCAAAGCTCAATTTAATTTTTTTAAAAAAAAAGTCGACTCGTGATCCCTCTAAAATTTAAAATAAACTCTTGTTAGTCCCTTTGAGAGACTATTGTGGTCTTCTTTGAATTTCAGAAAAACTATAATTTCGACTAAATGAATTTGTTTTAAATTTCAAAAAAATCATAAGTCAATTTTT